GTCTAAGGATGGTAGGCCAAGCTCATGCGTAAAACCGTCTGTGCCATCGCAAAGACCTCCTGCCAAAACCTGCTCAAGAAAACCGGGTCGCGGTCACTGACAATAGACCTGGGAAATCCATGATGTCTCACCATCCCAATACAAACTGCTCGGCCATAGACTCCGCAGTGTACGGATGCACCAACGGCATAAAATGAGCATACTTAGTGAGCCGATCCACCACCACGAACAACACCATCTTCCCACCAGAAGGAGGTAATCCCACGATGAAATCTATGCTAATGTCCTCCCATACCGTTCCGGCACCGGCATCTGCTGAAGAAGCCCGGCGGGTCGCAGGTGAGACAACTTCACTCTCTAACACGTATCACATGACTCTACAATGGATTTCACAGCTTGTGCCACCCGGGGCCAGTAAAAATGGCCTCTAATCCGGCGAAGTGTCCTCTCGGCGCCTGAATGACCTTCCAATGGAGAGTCATGGAACTCCTGCAGTACTGAGGTGACCAGGTTCGAGCCGGGAGGAAGAACCACTCGACCCTTGAAAGTCACCAATCCCTGTCGAAACAGATAATGCCCCGGGTTGTCGCTCACTGCGATTTCCCGGGAATCCTGTAAATACTGGCTGGTCTCCATGGACGCGCGTACCTCATCCCAAAACTGCGGAACTGGCCCTGACACTACAGGTAGAACCTCGCTGCCCGGTCTCCTTGATAACCCATCCGCCACCACATTAGTGGGTCCATGGCGATAATGGATCTCATAATCGTAGCCTAGCAGCTTCGACACCCACTTATGCTGATCCAGTGTGGACACCCGCTGCTCAAGGAGGTGCTTCAAACTCTAGTGGTTGGTGTAGATGTGAAATTTTTGACCCAAGAGGTACGGTCGCCATGTCTGGACTGCAGTAATGATCGCCTGCATTTCCTTCTTGTACGTTGACCAAGCCTCTTTGGAGGGTGCCAGCGTCTTACTCATAAAGGCAATGGGGTGGCGGTCCTGAGATAACACCGCCCCGATCCCCCGACTCGATGCATCTGCCTCAATAACAAATGGCTTGGAAAAGTCCGGCATTGCGAGAGTAGGAGTGGTCGTCATCGCCTGTTTGAGCTGCCGAAATGCAGCCTCCGCCGCTGGTGACCAGGCAAACCCCCCTTTCCTCAGTAGATCAGTCAATGGACGGGCGATCATGCTTTACCTCTGCCCAAACTTCCGATAATAACCTGTCAGACCCAGAAAACCCCGCAACTCAGTCACTGTTGCGGGAACCGGCCAGTCCACCATCGCCTGAATCTTGGACTGGTTCACCTTCACCCCCTGTGGAGTCACCATATGACCCAAATATTCCACTTCCTGCACCCCGAACTCACACTTGGATGCCTTAATATAGTACTGATTCGTCCTCAGTACCTCGAACACCGCCTGCAAGTGCGCCAAGTGATCTTCCCATGAAGGGCTGTAAATCAGGATATCATCGAAGAAAACCAGAACGTACCGACGTAGGAGAGGCCGAAAGATCTCGTTCATGGCCGCCTGGAAAGTGGAGGGAGCATTACACAATCCAAATGGCATCACCAGGTACTCATAGTGTCCGTTTGAGTGCGAAATGCTGTCTTATGGACGTCCTCTTCCTGCCTCCGGATTTGGTGATACCCCGCCCGCAAATCCAGCTTAGAAATATAGCGGGACCCTTGAAGCTCATCGAGCATATCGTCCACTATCGGAATAGGAAAGTGATCCTTCACTGTGGCCTCATTCAGAGCCCGATAATTAGTGTAGAAGCTCCAGGTCCCATCCTTCTTCCTCACCAGCAAAACAGGTGACGAGAACGGGCTGGTGCTCGGTGTGATCAAGCCCGTGGTCAGCATCTCCGAGACCTGTCTCTCAATTTCCTCCTTCTGCGAATGCCCATATCTGTACGATCTCACATTCACCGCCTCCACTCCATCCTTTAGCTGAATTTGGTGATCAACCAGTCGGTGAGGAGGCAAGGCGGTGGGAGTTTTGAACAAATCCGAGTAGTGTCCGAGCAACTCCTGAAGCTCCGGATGGAGCACCGGCGGCGCCCCCTTCTCGATCGGCCAACACAGAATGGCCAACTCGGCCTCGCCTCCCGGACTGCATTCCTCGAACGAGATGGGTCCTACAACAGTGGTGAGGCCCTGCACATTCCACTCCTTATCCCTCCATTTGAAACGCATGGTCAACCGCTGCCAATCACTAGTCACGTGACCCAGACTCTGCAGCCACGGAACCCCCAAAATGATGTCGAATCCTCTGATTGGCAGTACATACAGATCAGTGGATATAGGCAGACCTTGAATTTCCAAAGAGATACCTCAAAGAACCCCTACACAGCTCAAGGGAGCACCATTCGCCACCTTCACCACCATGGGATCGGTGGCCACGGGCTCCTGCTGCTGCAGGTGCTTGGCGAATTCCTCTCCCACAAAGTGCAAGGACGCGCCACTGTCGACTAAGGTGATGGCCACGCGATCCTCGACTCGAGCTCGGAAACGAAGAGTCCCCGGGGAGGCCCATCCCGCCACCGAGTGCAGCGAGAGGCAGGGGTCGGTCGCGCGGGGCGCGCTTGGGCCGATCGCGGCGGCTGCCGCGGGGCGATGCGCAGGCGGCGCGGGAGAGGCGCGCGGCGCGGCCGTGTCCGGCGGCAGAATACGCGCGGGGGCGGTGGCGAGGACCGCCGTGGCGGGGGCGGCGAGGGCCACCGTGGGAAAAACGACGAGGGGCGCCGCTTCGGGGAGCGCAGGCTCCGGCTCAGCAGGCAGCCAACGACGGCCGATGCGGCGGGCTCTATCCCGCAGTTCTGCCCATGATAGGTCCGAGAGTTGGGAGGAACTCATCGACGATCGCAGGCTCTGATACTAGATGTAAGACACAAGAAATCCCAATTGGGAGTTTAGGGATTGAGAAGAGAAGAATTTAGGGATTTGGAGAATTTGGGGAAGAACAAGAGAGAAAAGAGAGATTAGGGATTTTGGAATTCCTGATTAATATTGCTTAGTGTCCTAAAGTAATGAGCTGTAGCCTTAAGTAGTAAACCGAAAATAACATAAATTACAAGTTTGCCATTCTTCCCTCCCTTCTTGGCCGAGTTCGGCCCTCCCACTCTAACCCGTGGTCGGGTTTCCCACACATAGATTCAGAATGTTCAGGGGACAATTCGTTATATAGGAGTCGAGAGACCATACTTGCATCCACTTTCTTCACTTCTGAGTTCACAGTCCTCAACAAGTTTTCTTAGAAAGAAACTTCTTCCTTGATCATAACATCAATATCCATGAGAGTCTCTCCTTCACCATTGACAATCTTCTTATTGTTGAACGAACTTGCCTAATTTTGACAGTTTTGTGAAAGAAACTGGTGTTTAGATCACCATTTGGAATCCATAGCATTCTTGATTATTGTCTGTAGAAAGACTCTTCATCTTTAAGTAAAGAGAGGAGGAGTAGTTGACTGGTGTGCACATCTTAAAAATTATGGGGAGTAGGGTGTAGTAGAGCTTCCATCTGTGCTTGTTCAAGTTTTCATTTTCCTTTCTCAACTCTCTTAGGTATCTTATGACTTCCTATTTTTCAGCCTCTTCTTTATCTCCTTTATCTTTTGACAAAGAATGTACATAGAAGTTCCCACAAAAGTTGACCTCCATGCCTCCTTCATTAGCTGCTTATACAGAGGGTGGGACTCCCAACAACTGAATTATTTAAAAGGGTTAGGGAGGATGGCTAGCTTTCAGTCACTGTGAATCAACATGCCACAGTAATCTGTCAAAACAGACATTAACAACATCACTGTGTAATTTGAAAATCAAGCTCCATTTCTTTTATCTAGTTGTGAAAAGACTCTATGTTGGGTGATCGAGCGCGAGACTCTCTCCTCTTTTATGCTGCAAACCTAATTTGATCTCTGAAACACAAATTGAGAATGTGAAGTGCTTGATGAAGTCAATCACAGTATAGCCGCAAAATGGAAATAAAATTGACAGATTAATGGGCCCAAATTAAAACGTTCAAAATGATGGGCTTGATTATCTCGCCAGGCCCGCTATGTTGATCCGGGTTTACTCCTTGTTTCTTCAACGTGAGAGCTCATGTTCATTTCGTCCTCTTTTCGGCTTCCTGTTCGTCAAGGAGACCTACAAAAACAGAAATTCCAACTACACAGCTGCGAACAGGAGCAGAATTTAAAAGACGGAACAAAAACCCCGTTTTTACGTGGTATCCGATACTATTTGATTTAGTACCGACTAATCCACGGTCGAAGGTTCTCAATCGAGCCCTTCGACGTTCCACTATGTGATTGTAAACTTATCCCGATTACACTCAATCTCCTGGCAACTCCCCGTCAGCGATCAGACTCAGAATATGGTTCACTCCCCGCAAACCTAATCAAGAATACCCGCTATTCTACCAGCAATTTCCCCAACTGCTACTGACTTCTCTTTTTTCCCTATCTCACAATACTGATTCCTACTTTCGTGATTGCACAGACAGAGTATGCGAAAAGTGTCCTCTGCTCATGAGATTACAATTGTATAAATACTCTAACTCTGTTGACCGTTGCTCAATGATTTCCTCTTGATTTGTGCGATCTTCCTTTCTTGTTTCACCATATACTTTCCATCTCTAAATGAATCAAATCGTTACTTGAAGACTTTCCTTCTTGAGAGATATTATTCTCAGCTGGCGGTTCAGAGCATTGATGATCTTCCCACAATATACTCCCCCTAAGCTAGTCAATGGCTCCTGTCGCTGTGAATAGCCTTCCTGCACACACTCAACAAACACTTGGTGCAGTCTGTTCTCATACGAATTCTTAAAACTTTGAAAGGAAAAATGCTTATTTTATTTCATCTAGAACGCATGTCACAACGTTGACCACTGATAACAACTGATAAAGAAAGAACCAAGAACAACACCCTAACACGACACTTTTAACCAATGAGGACAGCTCCCCCTGAACTAAACACTTCCTATAAGAACCTAGAAGGGATAATTAGGAGGTGAATCGTAATCAGAAATGTCATCATCAGATCCGGAGTCCGAGGACATAGGATCGAAGTCCTCAGGGGCAGGTTCTGCCTCATCCTCCAGATCTCCTTGGGGAGCCTGCATAAGCTCCAAACGTTCCTTGCATAGCAGCAGCCCAAGCGATGCTCTGGTTAGACCGTCCTGACTTGGCTCAGCAACTTTGGTTTTCAAAACTTCACCATCGATGGCTGAAATAGCAGCCTTAAGTAATGCCGGAACCAGTTCAAGAGATGCGTCAGGCCCAGCAGGAAGGAATCCACCAGCTCCTCCCCCTGAGCAAGTTACAAGCTTACGGCGGCCTACGTCAGGGTCCAGGCGATTGAGAATGTGGTTCGGGCGCAAGTCCTCATGAATATTGCAGATGGTGACTTTGTCGCGCAAATCAAACTGGAGCCTGTACAGCAGTCGCGTGATAAGCGGTCTAAAGGGCAAGTTCCCACTGTAGTTACCATCTCCAAAGCGGAGCATGTGACGAAAAACTAAGGAGGCAAAGCTAATGGGCTGACAAGCTCGAGCATGAGTCATGATCCAGAGATCAGTAGGGTGCAACACAGCCGAGCTCCGCAGGTCACGAGGCAGCCAACACCGAGTGATGAACCAGTGGAACACCTTCAGGTCATCTGGAAGCCGACCGACATCAAGGTGATGAGAGAAGAACCTCCTTGTATCTTCAGTGAATAGAGACAATGAGGTCATGAAATCGAACCCCAGATCGTGGAACTCCCCATCAAACCCAGCCTGGAGACCAGAGTGAGGCAACGATAGAACTGAGGCAAGCAAGTCAGGTGACACCTTGATCTTGTGGTTATAAACCACAATGGTGAAGAACGAAGGTTCAGGACCAGGCCCCCTTTTGATGCTCACATAGAACATCCTGACTGCTTCAGGATAGAAGCTGAAACGTTGGTCTTCAACCAACGAGCTCCAGCCGAGGCCGGCAAGCATGGAAGGGAGATCCATCCCATACTTGTTGAAAGCAGAGGGTTGAATGGTGAAGGAAGGTTGAATGGAACGATCGCGAAAGCTACGTAGGTACCTAGCATATTCCCGACTGGTCCGAAAACCTTGATTGTTGAATTCAACTGCATCCTGCACTTGAGGATTGGTAATCACCATGGTGATGGAATTAAGAGGAGTAGGAAGTCTATAAGAGAAAGCGAGAGACTTGTGGAAGAAAAGAGCAAACCAGCCAGCCTTTTTAAGATTGTACCTACAGACTAACAGGGAAGGAATTCGAACAAATCCCTGATTGGGTGGAATTAGGATTAACTAAAAGGAAGGTATAAGGGACTGGTTGTGATTTTAGGAAATGGAGATCTCATCAAGTCTGACAAGTCCTAATTCTCTTCGAATTTCAAGAAAATTTTCACCATTAAGTGGCTTGGTAAAAATATCAGCCCACTGCATATCAATCCCAATAAACTCAAGTTGGACCTTCCCTTCCTGAACCAAATCCCTAATGAAATGATACCTAATCTCGATATGTTTGGTGCGAGAATGCTGGATGGGATTCTTTGACATATTTATGGCACTTGTGTTGTCGCACAAAACAAGAAGGGTTTTAAGATGAAGACCATAGTCTGACAACTGAGATTTGAGCCACAAAGCTTGTGAACAGTACAGTCCTGCTGCCACATACTCTGCTTCAGCAGTCGAAAGAGCCACATAATTTTGTTTCTTGCTAGACCAAGAAACCAAGGAAGTTCCTAGAAAATGACACGTTCTGGACGTGATTTTTCTATCAACTATGCATCCAGCAAAATCAGCATCACTATAACCTATTAACTCCAGACTAGAGTCTCTGGAATACCACAGACCCAAGGACTCAGTTCCTGCCAAGTACCTAAAGATTCTCTTTACAGCCGATAAATGACTAACTTTGGGAGAACTTTGAAACCTGGCACACACACACACTATACAGAATGTCCAGGCGACTAGCAGTTAAGTACAACAAGGAACCTATCATGCCACGAAACATTCGATCGTTTATTTTAACCCCAGACTCATCTTTGGATAGTTTAACAGTTGACCCCATCGAAGTGACTGCAGTTTTAATATTACCCAGATCAAACCTCTTAAGCATATTAATCAAGTACTTGGTTTGACTGACAAAGATCCCTTTTGGAGTTTGTTTTACTTGCAATCCTAGAAAGTAACTAAGTTCCCCCATCATGCTCATTTCAAAGGTGTTTTTCATTGAGTTTTCAAAGGCTTTACACAGGTCAATACTAGATGATCCAAAGATGATATCATCTACATAGACTTGTACCAGAATGGTATGATTTCCTTTTGTTTTAATAAACAATGTTTTGTCCACAGACCCTCTGTGAAACCCATCATTAATTAAAAATGAACTTAGCTTGTCATACCAAGCTCTAGGCGCCTGTTTAAGACCATAAAGTGCTTTGTTAAGTTTATACACATGATCAGGGTACTGGTGATTTTCAAAACCAGGTGGCTGAGTGACATAAACTTCTTCCTTTAAATCCCCATTCAAGAATGCGCTTTTCACATCCATTTGGTAGAGTTTGAACCCTTTAGAACCTGCATATGCACATAGCAGTCTTACAGCTTCTAACCTAGCTACTGGTGCAAAGGTTTCGTCGAAATCCAAACCTTCTTCCTGATAATAACCTTGAACTACTAACCTGGATTTATTTCGAGTTACATTACCAATCTCATCTGACTTATTCTTGTAAATCCATTTAGTGCCTAGGGGGGTTCTATCCACAGGCTTAGGGACCAAGTCCCAAACTTTGATTCTTTCAAACTGGCCTAATTCATCTTGCATAGACGCATTCCAAAATTAATCCATCAAAGCTTCCTCGATGTTTTTAGGAACTACTAAAGACACAAAGGCAGTATGAACCGAAGCAGCTTGTGATCTAGTGGTCATACCTTGGTTCATGTTTCCAATTACTTGAGAAATTGGGTGTCGCTTTTGTATGTGAGGAGGAGCTTGCACTTCTTTGGACTTGTCTCCTGCATCAGATGTTGTCTCACTACTCTCAACACGATCCAAGTCTTGCTTGTCATGACCCACAGCAGTTGAACTGCTTAGTCCCAGATCATCTTCATCCTCAACAGATGTAACTGTACTCATACTCACAAATTCATCAAACACCACATTAATGGACTCCTCAACTTTGAGGGTCCAACGATTAAATATCCTATATGCCCTACTCTGAGTTGAATATCCTAGAAAGATTGCTTCATCCGATTTAGAATCAAACTTTCCTAGATTATCTTTAGTGTTCAAGACAAAACATTTGCATCCGAATGGATGAAAATACCCCAGATTAGGTTTTCTTCCTTTCCAGAGTTCATAGGGGGTTTTGTTTAGTTTAGATCTAATTAAGGCCCTATTTACTACATAACATGCTGTATTGATGGCCTCTGCCCAGAACTGTTTAGATATACCATAGTCATTAAGCATAGTTCTAGCAATATCTATTAGGGTCCTATTCTTTCTCTCCACAACTCCATTCTGCTGAGGAGTCCTAGGAGCAGAGAAATTGTGAGAAATAACCGAGTCATTACAGAAGGTTTCAAACTCATCAGACACAAATTCCCCCCCCCCCCCCTCGTGATCACTCCTTATACTGGCTACTTTCGACTATTTTTCATTTTCCAGTCGCTTGGTTAGAGTTTTAAAATTATGGAAAGCATCACTTTTGTTTGTTAGAAACATTACCCAGGTAAATGTTGAGTAATCATCCACAATTACAAACGCATAAAACTTCCCACCAAGACTTTTAACATTGCTAGGTCCAAACAAATCTAAGTGAAGAAGTTCTAAAACTCTAGAGGTTGAGATAACTTGTTTACTTTTGAAAGTACTCCTGACTTGTTTTCCTTTAGTACATGCTTCACAAAAAATTCTTTCTTATACTGTATTTGAGGAATTCCTGTCACCAAATCCAGGCTTACTAATTTCGAGAGGGTTCCAACCCCCACATGACCTAGCCTCCTATGCCAATCCATTTGGTCATTTTTATCCATAGACATCAGACAAGTTTCGTTAAACATGCTTTTATCATTCAAATATATGCAAAACACTTTTCCTTTTCTTTTACCAGTGAAAAGAATCTGATTGTTCAAGATGTTTTCAACATAGCAACTATCAGGTTCAAACACAACTCTATTGGATTCTCCACACATCTGACTTATAGAAAACAGATTGTGTTTTAGCCCTTTAACCAGCATAACATTTTTATGGACGGATTTGACCCTACTTGACATCTACCTAGAATATCAGTACTGTAATTGTCACCAAAATAAACTTTACCCTTTTTAAACTTATGGAGGTTTGTGAAGAGGTTCTCATTTCCAGTCATATGATATGAACAACCGCTATCCAGGATCCATTCACTGTCTCCCATGCCCACTTGAAGACAGACCTGGTTACAGGAGCAGTTACTTTAGTTTTGCTATCCAAACAAGTTTGGATAATCCTAGTTTTACCTCTAGTTTAGGACAATTTCTTTTTAGGTGACCTTGTTTGTGACACAGAAAACACATCTGAGTTCTACTCTTTCTTCCTTGGCAATTCTTCTTTTGCAATTTGCTATATAATGACCCCTTTTATGACAGTAGAAGCACTCGACTGACTCTGACTTGCTTTGTCTTTCATTCTGACACGATTTAGCATTATGTTGACACTGGATTCTTTCTTCAGTTTCAGTTATTTTATTTTCTAAGGCTTCACAAAACTTCTTACTTTCTTCTAACCTCAAATCTGTAATTAACTTTTCATCTAACAGTTTTTGGTAGTTTTCTTGTATCTATTCCTGACGTTTCCAAACTCAAGCTGAATTTCCCTAATCGTTTCTATCAGCTTATCATTTTCACTGTAGTAATCAGAGTAATAGTTAGATGATGTTACCTTAGGAGCGTCGCTTTCATCCTCACTGTTGTCAATTGCCATGTACGCCTCTTGCTTACACCATGTATCTGATTCCTCTTCTTCTTCCTCACTGCAGCTCCAGGTAGCTGCATAAGCTCGTTCCTTTTTCAGTTGAGGACATTATGCCTTAATGTGACCAGTTCGTCCACATTTGAAACACCCTCCCTGATTGAGTGTCCTGTCGGTAGTGTTATTCCTTCCACTTGTTTTGGAATATTTGAGTTGCTCCTTCTCACCATCTCCTTCCTTGGATTTGTTGACCAGTGCACCTCTTCTTCTTTCCTTTCCGAGTCTGAGAAGCTTAGCCACATGTTTACTAAGCAGTGCTAGCTCTTCATCTTCCAGTTCCTCAAACGTATCCAGTTCATCTCCGTGTGAAATTGCCTTGAAGGCAATTCCTTTCTTTTCTCTTCGTGGGTCTTCTCCTTCCTCTCTTCTGAGCTTCTCCTCGTGAGTCACCAGAGATCCCATCAACTCATCGAAACTCAACTTGGTCAAATCCTTCGATTCCTCAGTGGCAGTAACCTTTGGTGTCCATTTTTTAGGCAATGCCCAAAGAATTTTCCTCACAAAATCACTATTGGGTTAGTCAACCTCCAGATTTCTGAGGCTGTTGACAATGTTCATGAACCTATCGTTCATTTCCTTGATAGTTTCATCCGGGTTCATAACGAACGACTCGAACTCTTGCTTCGGACTATTTATTCTGAAAATCTTCACATGAGAGGTACCTTCATGTGCGATCTGGATTTTATCCCAGATCTCCTTAGCCGACTTGCACCCAGTCACTCGATGATACTCTTCTGGGCCCAACGCACAATACATCAGATTGGTCGCTTTGGTATTAAGCTGGAAGTTCTTCTTGTCCTGTTCAGACCACTTTCCCCTAGCCTCCTTGACTTCCAACGGTCCGTCAAGTTCGATATTCCAAAAATCTGGATCGGTTGAGCCGATGAACAGCTCCATCTGGTTCCGCCAATATCCATAGTTGACTCCCTCGAACCTAGGAGGACGCGTCTGTGAGAATCCATCCGCCATGTAACCACCATTCCCATTTCCTACGCTCGAACTCATTCTCGTCGGAGGTTGTTAAACCTTAATCGCCGGCGACCGGGCTCTGATACCACTTGTTGGGTGATCGAGCGCGAGACTCTCTCCTCTTTTATGCTGCAAACCCTAATTTGATCACTGAAACACAAATTGAGAATGTGAAGTGCTTGATGAAGTCGATCACAGTATAGCAGCAAAATGGAAATAAAATTGACAGATTAATGGGCCCAAATTAAAACGTTCAAAATGATGGGCTTGGTTATCTCGCCAGGCCCGCTATGTTGATCCGGGTTTACTCTTTGTTTCTTCAACGTGAGAGCTCATGTTCACTTCGTCCTCTTTTCGGCTTCCTGTTCGTCAAGGAGACCTACAAAAACAGAAATTCCAACTACACAGCTGCGAACAGGAGCAGAATTTAAAAGACGGAACAAAAACCCCGTTTTTACGTGGTATCCGGTACTATTTGATTTAGTACCGACTAATCCACGGTCGAAGGTTCTCAATCGAGCCCTTCGACGTTCCACTATGTGATTGTAAACTTATCCCGATTACACTCAATCTCCTGGCAACTCCCCGTCACCGATCAGACTCAGAATATGGTTCACTCCCCGCAAACCTAATCAAGAATACCCGCTATTCTACCATCAATTTCCCCAACTGCTACTGACTTCTCTTTTTTCCCTATCTCACAATACTGATTCCTACTTTCGTGATTGCACAGACAGAGTATGCGAAAAGTGTCCTCTGCTCATGAGATTACAATTGTATAAATACTCTAACTCTGTTGACCGTTGCTCAATGATTTCCTCTTGATTTGTGCGATCTTCCTTTCTTGTTTCACTATATACTTTCCTTCTCTAAATGAATCAAATCGTGGCTTGAAGACTTTCCTTCTTGAGAGATATTATTCTCAGCTGGCGGTTCAGAGCATTGACGAGCTTCCCACAATATACTCCCCCTAAGCTAGTCAATGGCTCCTGTCGCTGTGAATAGCCTTCCTGCACACACTCAATAAACACTTGGGGCAGTCTGTTCTCATACGAATTCTTAAAACTTTGAAAAGAAAAATGCTTATTTTATTTCATCTAGAACGCATGTCACAACGTTGACCACTGATAACAACTGATAAAGAAAGAACCAAGAACAACACCCTAACACGACACTTTTAACCAATCAGGACAACTCCCCCTGAACTAAACACTTCCTATAAGAACCTAGAAGGGATAATTAGGAGGTGAATCGTAATCAGAAATGTCATCATCAGATCCGGAGTCCGAGGACATAGGATCGAAGTCCTCAGGGGCAGGTTCTGCCTCATCCTCAAGATCTCCTTGGGGAGCCTGCATAAGCTCCAAACGTTCCTTGCACAGCAGCAGCCCAAGCGATTCTATCCCTACACTGTCTAGAATAACAGATACCCTTGCAGACCTAACAATCTCAAAATTCTCATCATTCAGATCCCCAATCATCTCAAAATTTCATTGTGAATGTGCCGTAAGTTTGAGTTCTGAAACATGAAATAAAATTAAAGTCAACGTAGCAATTAGCATGCCTTTCACCCAAAAAAAAAAAAAAAAACGTAGCCTACCTTTGTACCGTTAATCAGTTTCTTTCCACATTTCTAGCTAATCCTTTTGTTTTAGAGACTCTGAACGAAATGAGACAATGGCATATGTATACTTTTCATATGTATTTGCTGATCACTTCCTTCAGCAAATTTGTTTGGTTCTTTATGTTCTTTTTCCTCCTTGGACATATGATTATTATAGTGGAAATCATAGACCAAGTGTCGGTGGATTAGTTAAGATGATGGTTAGGAATCTAGGATATTGTAAGCATATATCTTATTGTGTAAAGTGAGATGCGCTGGTTTTCCTTTTTCAATTATATTATTCTACATTATACATAAACATTATATAAGAGGGTTGTGACTTGTGAGGGACACTATTTATTATTGTCAAATCAATAAATTTTTTATTAAATTGATAAAAAATTTAGTAACATTTAGACTTTCATAGTATTTCAATTAAACTCAAACCCAACTGATGTAGTGAAAGCGAGTTGAACTCGGTGTTTATGATTTTTAGTCAAGAGTGAATTTCACCTGCTTTTGTAAATGAATGGTTGGGTCAGATGTGGATTTTATTAAAAACTCGGCCCGCGACATGCATCTAAAAAAAAAACCCTACTTTTGTACTTAACGGGTGGGATCATGTTTGAATTGTTAAAACTCGCCGCACCTTTTTCTGGAGATTCTTCTTTTTTTCTTTATGATTTTGTGGATGTGATCGAGGTGCAGCCTCTTTTGTTAAGACCTGTCATGTTTATGCATTTTCTTTCTATGTTGATCCACTTTCCGTTGTTTGTTTTTTTTATTTTGATCATTAATAATATTATTATATCACCCTTAAAAAAAAACTCGAACCGCTTCATCATAAATTTCATGGTGTTGGCGAGTTTTGGGTTGGGAGCGGGATTTACCAGCTTCGTAATTGACAGATTGGGTCTTGTAGATTTTATTAAACATTCGTACTGCTTTCCATCCGACCCTCATCTAAGAAAGCCATTTTTGTAATTGTCGGGTTGGTTGGATGTGGATTTTATTAAATCTCGAACTGAATTCTGTCATACTCGCATTTTAAAAACAAAACATATACCAGCTTTTGTTATAAAACAGTACGAATATATTTGGTTTGAAAAACCATGGATACATGAGGGTTTTGGGTGCATTATGGATTTGATAAACACCATTGTTTGTTTAATGGATTTCATGATGGATTTTATTAATTAAATTTGTATGTATGAAGTGTAACTTACTTTTATTGCCCTCAATGATATATGAAGAGAAAGAAAATATGAGAGGTAGGTTTGGTAGAATATTATGGACTTTGAAGTACATGATCAATTCCCACCTTAACTGGTGGGATTTTCAAATTCGTAGGCCCCACAGATTTGGATCCTCAAAGTCCATGGGTCCGACAGATTTGTTACCTCTAAATACTTGAAGCGAACAATAGATTTTGGACAAAGTCCATCATGAATCCAAATCCATGAAGCAAACAAGCTCTAGATATGGTGTTTGTTAAAAGTATGGCCCCGTTAATCAAAATTTTATTGGTGTTGACGAGTTTTGATTCAGAGAAAGATTTACCCGCTTTTGTATTAGGTGTGCATTTTTTTTAAAACTCGCTCTGCTTTCCATCCAACCTACAGCTAAAAAACAAATAATCAACTCGGTCAAGTGCTTAAATAAAATTCATAGGCATTCAACTAATTTGACCGGTCAAATTGAGTTGAACCCTTTGTTCATGAGTTTGGGTCGGGAGCGAGTTTTACCCGCTTTTGTAATTTATGGGTTGGGTTGGGTGTGTATTTTGTTAAAAACTCAGACCATTTTCGATCCAAACCGCACCTAAAAAACAAAACAAACCCATTTTTTGTAATTATGGTTTGGTTAGGGTGTGAGTTTTGTTTAAAACTTGGCCTGCTTAATCGCGGTGTTGACGAGTTTTGGATCGGAAGCGAGTTTTACCATATTTTGTAATTGACAGGTTGGGTAGATTTTTCCAAAAGTAGCACTGTTTAAAAAAAAATTCAAAGAATAGCACCCAACTCCGAAAAATTCCAAAAATAACACCCTTTCTGCAAAACTGCCACCCGTACTAGCGGTTTAGGCGAAAACCGCCACCCGGGAGCGCGTTTTTTGATGAAAACCGCACTGGTAGAGGGCGGTTTTGCAGACCGCACCCGCACCATGCGGTTTGGTTGCAGACCGCATCCCCACCATGCGGTCTGTTTTTTTTTTTAATCCTAACCTAGGTGGAAACTTCAAACGAACGTATCTTTGTGTTCGGGTATCCCATCGTCGCGAATTTTTTTTTATTCCGCATAACCTTTTGAGATCTTGCAAGCCGAAGACTGTCGAAGGTGGTTTGGTCCCGCCTTCTTCCCAAAAAATGTCCTTTGCTACCCCGAATGAGCTTTTTCCGATTTCGTCAAACTTTGGACAACCATAACTTTGTGCTCCAAAATCCAAACGACAAGAATTTTTTTTTTTATTTCGCATAACTTTTTAAGGACTACAATTTTTACTGGGAATGAATTTTCAAAATATTTTTGGATATACAGGATTTTGGGAATAGCTTACCTCCCCTTCTCAGCAATCCACGTACATTTTGAAATTATGTGTATGATAAAAGTTTTATTCCTTAAAAATTTATGCGAAATAAATTTTTTTTTCATGTTGTTTGGATTTTGAAGCTCAAAGTTATGGTTGTCCAAAGTTTGACGAAATCGGAAAAAAGCTCGTTCGGGGTAGCAAACGACATTTTTTAGGACGAAGGCGGGACCAAACCACCTTCGGCAGTCTTTGGCTTGCAAGATCTCAAAAGGTTATGCGGAATAAAAAAAATCGCGACGATCGGATAACCGAACACAAAGATACGTTTGTTTGAAGTTTCCACCTAGATTAGGATTTTTCAAAAAAAATAAAAAAATAAAAAAATAAAAGCAGACCGCGTGGTGCGGGTGTGGTCTGCAACCAAACCGCATGGTGGGGGTGCGATCTGCAAAACCGCCCCCTACCAGTCTGGTTTTCATCGAAAAACGCATCCCCGGGTGGTGGTTTTTGCCTAAACCGCTGGTACGGGTGGCGGTTTTGCAGAAAGGGTGCTATTTTTGTAATTTTTTGGAGTTGGGTGCTATTTTTGGAATTTTTTTTAAAACAACACTACTTTTGGAAAAATCCCTTGGTAGGTGTGGATTTGTTAAAAATTAGATCCACCTTCCATGTGACCCGCACCTGAAAAACAAAATAATCGACACGGTCAAATGCTTAATCAAAATTTAAGTGTCATCTAAACTTTCATTGTATTTGCTTTTATGACAATTGAACCAAAATCCATGGATATTCAACCTAATTTCACGAGTTTTGGGTAGGAGCGTGTTTTACCTACTTATGTAATTGGTGGGTTGCGTGGCGTGTGGATTTTGCAAAAACTCAGTCCGCTTTCCATTCGACCCGCACCTAAAAAACAAAACAATCAGCCTAATCAAAGCATGTGAATTCGGTGTGACGAGTTTTGATTCGGGAGCAAGTTTTACCCACTTTTGTATTGAGCGAGTTGAACCTGATTCTGACAAGTTTTGGGTCGGAGCAAGTTTTACCTACTTTTTGTAGTTGATGGATTGAGCCGGGTGTAGATTTTGTTACTTGCTAGGTCTCTTTCAATATGGCTAGCAACTAAAAATCAAACAATCGACCTGGTTAAAGCGGGTTGAATCTGGTGTTGTCTCATTTAGGTTCGAGAGCAAATTTTCGTTGTATCCGCTTTTGTAGTCGGCAGGTTGGATCAGATGATGATTTTGTTAAAACTCGGTTATCTTTCCATTAGACTTGCACAAAAACAAAAACAAAACGTCAATTGGGGAAAGTTAATCTGCTAACTTGAAGATTCGTTAGCAGATACTAACTGATATCCAAAATACATGAACTAATATCCAAGTACTAAAGTATCTAGAGAGCACAGACTAGTATTCAAAGTTTGCTAACTGATATCCATCATGAATCACTATTATCCCAAATTCACAAACTAATATCTAGACAACACAGAATAGTATCCAAACAGCACATAATTAGTATCCAGATAACACATAAGAGTATTCAGATAACCCATAAGAGTATCCATATTGGTTGGTATCTGCTATCTGGATACTAGTTTGTGATGTTTTAAATACTAGTCTGTGCTATCTAGATACTTAGCAGACTTGAATATTAGTTCATACATTTTGGATATCAGTTAGTATATACTAACGAATCTTCAAGTTAGCAGAATAACTAGGTCGGCTTTTTCATTGGCTTCCACATACAAAATTATAGTTTTGGTCCCTGAACTTAATGGATATTTATAATTAGTGTCTAAAATTAATTTATTTTACGTAGAAGTCCTAAAAATATTGTTGAAAATTTACATTTTAGTACCTATAAATTTTTTCTCTTACATTTTGATACCTAAACTTTTTAAAATTTACAAATAGGTCCAATGGTATGGTATGCTTTAAGAAACTTGTGGTAGGCTTTGATAAACTTGTGACATGTTTTAATGAACTTGTGATATGTTTTGATAAACTTATGGAATGCTTATCCTTCCCTTTCCGTCCCTCTTCCCACTTGTGGTATACTTTAATAAACTTGTGGTAAGCTTAGATAAGATTTTGATATACTTTATGAGATTTGTGATCTACTTTGTAGGACTTGTGGTCTGCCTTATGGTATGTTTTATGAGGTTTCTTGTATACTTTGTCGGACTTGTGGAATGCATTAGAGGACTTTGTGCTAGTCGGGCTCGCCACACAATACTATATATACCCGATCGCCGGCAACACAAACAAGCGATTCCCATCCCTGCCAAGGCCGCGGTAAGCATCTTGTCCATCTAAGTCGCCATCATAGTCACTGGGACGGTCGGCTTCCTATGGAACAAAAGAGGAAGCAATCCAAAGCCCCAAACGTTTGTCCGTTTATAATTAGCTTTGCTTTTGTTAATAAATAGGCTTCCTCCTCCTTTTCATCATCCCACAAATCAAGCTTGTCGGCGGGAACCTCCGTGGCAGCCTCCGTCGTGGTCACTCGATAGGTTGCCCAAGACTTCCTCCCGTGATGACGAGGATTTTCAATTTTTTTAAATGACAATCGTGTCCTTTTATGAAAAATTATAATTAATTATGATCAACACTTAAAACAAGAAATGTAATCTAAACTAAATGTTCTGATTAGCTCGAGCTATTGTTAGTGTGGTGCTAACAAAGTTAGCACCATAGCCAAATTCTCTTAGACTTACATGTTTAACTCAAACACAACAATGACTTATATATTTTTCCGATATTTGTCACTAATAGCGTAACTAATGGATGATCTTATGATAGATGGTCGTACATTTTACTAGTTGATTACAATTTTTCCTCGTTAACCTCATTTGACAAGTTGAGCTCGAGTCAAACTTAAACTTCTATCTTTGTAAACAAGCCGAGCTTGAACTTGGAATTATAAGTCCGAACCATATATACATACGTTGTTTTTTATCTCGTGGACGAAGGCAGCAATGTTCAAACTTCATTCATCAAAAACTTGTTCAAACTTAAATGATCGTATGCAACACACTTTGTGGCCTTTTTTGGTGATCTAAATTAGGAGGCTTTACCTTTAAGGCGCCTGATTTGATCGACAAAACAAAAGGTTAGTGAAAATAGTACGTCATGAGGCGACTATGAATAATTCTTCTTTTTCTTCTTCTGTATCCCCATCAAAGAATGACGATTGATTTTAACTTCCAAATGATCAATTAGACCCTAGCTATCAAATGGAAGTTTGCCACCATAAATTCATACTTCGACATCGACTTGAGCTGGGTGGTCTTGTCTTTTTAATTCGCATTTTTTAACAAAAGTAAAAGTAAGGGTGAAACTTCAAACTATTGATGAACATTTAGTGCGTAACTATAGAATGTAGTTGGTTAAAAGCAATGCCAAATCTTCAACAAGATCTTATACATGTAATGTAGGGTAGAATGGTAGATACCATATTTTTGCTTCTGGACACCAGTAAAATTTTATGTTCGTGTCACATGTATGGTTGTTTGCTTGGTCTTTTTTTTTTTTTTTTGGCCGTTTAGCTAGATTAACATTATTTCTTGTCATTTCACCTTGTACTCGGTATTTAACAAACACATTTTAGTACCATATAGTTTATTGATTTATTGATTTTTAAATGGCAAAATACATTTTTTTGAATGATTAAAAGATACTATGTGCATTGCATATTTATGTTGCCCTTTCTCATTTGGAATGAAATACAATAATTAAGGAAAATTCTTGCGTCCAACTCCGTTAGAGCTACAAGCTTCAACCTGCCATTTGGCAGCATATTAGTGGTTACTTAATCTTCCGTTTTCTCTTATTTTTAATGTCCTTATTATTGCTTTAAAATTAACCATATTAGGAATTAAAAAATGAAAAGAAAAAACAACTTGGACGGAAACGGAAGAAGACGGATGGAAAGGATGCAACTTCTAGGTTATTAATCTAATTAGGTCATATTTGTTAATGTAATTAGGTCATATCCGTCTTCTATGAAGTTGCAGCCTTTCCATCCGTCTTCTTCTGTTTCCGTCCAAGTTGTTTTTTCTTTTCATTTTTTTAATTCCTAATATGGTTAATTTTAAAGCAATAATAAGGACATTAAAAATAAGAGAAAAGGGAAGATTAAGTAACCACTAATATGCTGCCAAATGGCAGGTTGAAGTTTGTAGCTCCAACGGGGTTGGACACAAGGATTTTCCAATAATTAATGGGTAGAGATTGAACTGCAATTAATTAATGGGTAGAGATTGAACTGCAAAAGGAAAAAAAATATTCATTAAGCGAAAGAGGTAACATTTCATTAAAAAAAATTGAAGACGTGGGGAAATCTCACCTCTCTCCGCCGCCACAGGAGTCAGATCGGCGAGTGGGTGTTTGCTGTGATCTTATCGATTCTTGCAGTTTGCGTTCGTAATCAAAGACGAGAGGCTGATTGGAGTGCCTCTTTCAGTTCTCCTTGTCGTCCCGAGGTGGTGGTGCGGATCAGGAAGACGGATGGTTCTTCCCCGTATCTGACTGACCGCCAGAGCCTCGCTTCTCGGTACGCTTTCACGCCAATACCAAATACCAATCTAGATTAAGGATTGGATTTCATGCCAAAACCAAATACCAATCCAGAATAAGGATTGGAAAAAGGAAATTTGAGGGACCAATCAGGGGTGATGCCGCCTGGATCCCTGCTAAGTGCCATCGCCCGTGCAAACATTCTGTTTGGAGTCTCAAACTCCCATCGTCTATGAAGCTTGAGGAGGAGACTCGGGAGTTACCGGTGGCGTCTGTAATTACTGCTGAGGATATCACTAAGCGCCCATTGATGGCCAACAAAGGGCCCGATGGAGCTGAGGTTTGTCGGAAGTCTACCGTTGGAGATAGAGTCTCTGGACGAAATAATATCGGCGACCAAACCCAGAACCGGTGGTTGGGTGAGGAAGTGGTTGTGATCAACTCAATCTCCTGAGAATCTCGCCCCGAGATTTGGGAAATTTCCCCTAATTTGATTTTGCGCAATTCGCCGTTCAAGCAGAGTCATTTCCCCTTTAAAACTCAAATTCACCGCAACCAACTCGGACGATGCAAATCCGGGGACGCGTCTTCTAGGCTATTTAATGCCTTGCTCCACTGCTCTGCTTCTCTAGTTTTTTGTTGCCGAACAGTGAAGTCAGATTCCAAGCACAGTGTTGAGGGTGTTGTTCCCAGCTTGCCTCCGTGTTCAGGTAAGCCCACATTCTCGCCAGCCCCTCTTTATTTAATCTAGTCCTGCCTTTCACTAATGTGGAGGCAGCAGGTGGCTAGAGAAGGGTAGTCCGCTGCCGATTAAGGTCAGCCGGCCAACTAACAAACCTGATTTTGCTTGTTCCCTTCAGAGTGCTAAAATGGCGCGCATGTCTCTTCACACCAGGTGGTCCAATTCTCCATGGAGGAGGTTCAGTCAACCAAATATAGGACCACTCATTCGCTTTTGGAATGTCTCTTTACGGAGAGTCGGGTTACGGTCATGGAAGTCAGGGAAGCAGTTATCGCGCCATGGCAAGTGAAAGGACGATTAAAAGTGGTGATGTCAAAATATGGGTTGTTCGTATTTATTATGCCATCTGAGGAAGCTAAGAGCTGGGTTCTCAAGATAACGCTATGGGTAGTCAAGGATTTGATCTTGCACCTTAGACCATGGGCCCCAATCATCTCTCAAAAAATTTGATGATCTTGCCATGGTCCCTTTACGTATCCAAATGTGGAATGTTAAAGAGGAGTGTTGTACCCAGCAATTCGAACGAAAGATGGCATCCAATAAGCTTGGCCATTTCCTGGAGGTTGGTGTATTTGCAAGTCATGAGATTGGGGAACGTTTTGTAAAAGTGAGAACGGTGCTGGATCTCACCAAGCCATTACGTTGACAAATTATGGTGGCCAATGATGATCCAAGGTTCTTCTGGGTTGCCCTGAAATATGAGTATTTACCCTCGTTCTGCTTTCGTTGTGGTTGGGTGGGGCATTTTCTCAATGAGTGTGTCTTTGAGCCTCCGACTGGCAAGGAGAGGTTTGGACCGCATATGTCCACTAAGAAGGTGGGTATACGAGTCTATGATGTTGCAGATGAACCCTAACAGTACAGGGGTAATTCGAAATCTGTGTGGCTGAATACAGAAGTGGGCGAACTCCGGGAGGAGAAGCTTGGCAATCGGTCTCGTCCTATGGAGCTGGAGGAGGAGATTCGAGGGAAGCTACGAGAGAGTAAGAGGATCGGAAGTCCTGGGCCTGTTTTTCGGAGGAATGCGATTTTTAAAAAGAACCGCCGAAGTCTGAAGTGGTTCCCAATCACGAAATCTCCAAGGTTGAAGATTGAGCGAAGGATGCGGTATCATGAACATAGTCAAGGGTGGGATGTAACTGCTAGGGGCCGCAATAACATGGATGCGTCTTCTGGTAATGAGGGAAGAGGCCGGCCATCTAGGCTTGTCACGTCCAAAAATGATGATGGAGTTGTGGGTCCGACGGGGCCTAAGAAGGGGTCGGCTCTTGAGGGGTATCGGAGGCGGTTGATCCTTGATAATTCAGAGGAGGAAGGGAACCCGATGCCTGCAGTGGTGAGAACCCTGCATCGGGACCAAGTGAAGGAAAGAAATGGAGGGCAGCGTCTTGTGAAAATGTCGACCAAAGGTAATCTGGGCCTGGAGCAGCCCCATCCCCCATCTAGTTCATCGTTGCACCAAGGAAACAAACTGGTGATACACGATGGGGAGAACCAGGATATTCTAGTTCCTTCTCCTCCCATGCGTGCTGAAGCTAAACTTCCTTCCTCTGGTGTTGAGAATCTAGAGGACTCGGCGAATTCCTCGTCTGAGGAGGATGCGGCTTTCTTTGAGCTTAAGTGTCGTTCACCAAAACCACCCTGTGTGAAACCTCTTCGTTCTCTCAAAGGCCGAGTGGGCAAGGTAGTTGCGCCTTTTGAGTTGGGACTCGCTATCAATTATGGGGTCATCGGTGGCCGGCTGGAGAAGCAATTAGCTCCTGAGGATGTGGCTCAGATGCGCGAGTGGGAGGAGGAGGAGGCAGGGGAGCCTCCCCAGTTCAATGAATATGGAACGAACTTGCTCGATCCATATATTGGGGGCGTAAGCGCCCGATAACTTATGTGGAGGGAGAAGTGGGGGATAATGCAAATCCCAAAAAATTATTCGTGGACGAAGAAACTGGTAAGGCGGAGGACACTGGCCTGAAATGGTTCCAATCAGATAAATGAAGCTTCTCGCATGGAATGTGAGAGGAATTGGGTCATCCCTCACATTTCAGACAGCTATTGGTTTGATTCATTCCAATAAATCAGAAGCAAGATCGCGCCGTAGAGTCCTTTCCCGCCGTTTGCGGGGCTTAGGTTTTGATAATTCTCATTGTTTTTTTGTTGATGTCGTTGACACCGCTAGTGGTATTGTTTTAGCTTGGGCCCCCAAAGTTCCAGCTTCGGTATTTTTTCATTCCAATTTTTGTATTTGTGTTCAAATTAATGAAGTGGATTTTTCTTATATTGTGGTTTTCGTCTATATTAGTTGCATTGAAGCAATAAGAGTTGATCAACTAGCTCGGTTGCTTGATATCTGTGAGGATTTCGTCCTACCTTTTGTGGTAATAGGCAATTTTAACGTAACTGTGAATGAGAGTGAAAAAGATGGTGGCAAGCCTTGGAGTGCCACCCAAGCTGTACTTCTCCGAAATTTCGTGACTGATCTGGGTCTCCATGACCCAGGATACCAAGGAGATCCGTTTACTTGGACCAACAAACGTATGGGGTCCGCCAGTATCCGTGAAGGCCTTGACAGGGCCCTTTGCTCTCAAAGTTGGGTTGAAAAATTCCCTGATACCCTCGTCCAGCATTCACGGACCAAGGGTCTGAACACCGCGCTTTGCTCCTATCTAATAAGCCTTACGTTCATAACAGTCGGCCCGTATTCCGTTTCGATGCCCGCTGGGCTAAGAATCCTGAAGTTCGGCCCATGGTCGCGTATGTTTGGCAAGAGGAGATCTCTGGTACTCCTATGTATCAACTCTGGGAGAAACTTAAGAACTCTGTCATTTGCTCTACGACTGGAGCAGGGCGTGTACTACCAATTCCCTCCAAAATATAAAAGCCCTCCAGGCAGAGATTGACCGGGTTAAACTACAATCTCCAATAGATTGGGACACAGTTAAGACCTTGGAAACGGAATTGACCAGACAGTGGGATGCAGAAGAAATATACTGGCAACAGAAATCAAGGGTCCGATGGTTAAAAAAGGGGGGGATCAGATGTTCTCGTATTTTCACACGGTCACTAGGGCTGGGCGTAAGCATAATTACATGGTTGGTCTAAGAAATGAACATGGGGATTGGGTAACTGAGGACGGGGATGATAACGATGTAATTGCACATGTTTGCACCCCTAGTTCTTATCCGTTTGTGGGGCGTAGTCGTGTATTTTTGGCCTATTTTACGCCGGGTTGTGCTACTTTGTCATATTTCAGGTCCCAGACGTCGAAAGAAAGGCTAAGCACGAGTTTCGGGGCATTTGGAAGTCATTTGATCGAGCTGGATCCAAAGCACGGGCTCGCCTAAATCAAAGCACGGCCGTGTACACAAACAGGCACGCTAGTGTTTTTATTGCCGAGAGCCGAACTAATGGAAAACCAAAGCACGGGCGCGCCTAAAACAAAACACGGCTGTGTCCATATTTAGCCACGACCGTGTTTTGGCCGACGCGGGGTGTTTTTAACACGGGGCAAAACACGGGCGGGCAAAACCAAAGCACGGTCGTGCCCTCGACAGTATTTTGCCCAGGGTCTGCTTTTTAGGCAGATTTGAGCCAAAGGAGAAGGGGTTCCGAGTTTTAGAGAGACAAAGCAATTCCTAGAGAGAGAGAGAGAGAGAGAGAGAGTGACGAATTAGAGTTCCCAAGTGCCCTAGCTTGATCTGCATCATCATTGGAGCCCGGCTTGAGCTTGGAGAAGTGCTGATTGACGACCAGGAGCAGAAACCCATCCTTCACAGTATGGTTTCCGCATCTGACTCTGCTTTTGCTTCTTTCTCCATGGAGTAGTTTTCTCATTCATCCCCAGCAACGGTGCCAAAAACTTGACTCACTCCTAAAGCGTAGTATAGTGGGTTTGGGTTTTAATGTCAACCCGGGTCCTAGATGTGATGACTACTCAGTGAATTCTTATTATCTAGCGGTGAAACTTTAGTGTAGGTTCAAACAAGCAAAGCAAGCAATTAAACGGTTGTTTCAAGTCGAGAGAGGTCACCCGGATATGGTTCCCCCTAGACTGCAGTTAAGCCGGATTGCAATTTACCAAGTTCAGTTTCTATGATAGTGATACTGCGGGAGGTTCTTAAACAGTCTGAAGTCTCGACTAAAGGTCTCCAGACCCTCTCAATCTGAGTCTCCAGCGGGCGACTAACCTCCACCGGAGTAAACAGATTGAGGCCCTAACTAACAAAACCTCCACTACCGAAGTAAATTCGGTACATAATAGTGAATTGGCTCCTCGACTAAAGTCGCCAATTCACTACCTTCAATTAAGGGTGCTGTATTAACCTAGGCAGATATTCTCTTTCTAGGTTAAAGCAGAAACAACAGGAATTTGATCAGGATTCATGCCATTCAATCATTCAAACCTCAATTGAATATAATTAAATCATAAAATCTGTACTTGGGTTCATACAATCAGACCTAACATACAAATCTAGGGTTCTTCATACCCAGATGAATGAGAAAACTACTCCATGCCCCGCTACTTCATACTAGTTGGGTGCCCCGGTTGCATCCTGACGCCCCTACTTTTAGCGCTCGGATTTTGCTGGATGATGGAAAGCTGGTGGTTGCAGTTGTTATACGCTCTGCGGCTGGGGAATGATGTGGCCATAGGCTTAGCCAGTGGTTTGATCCGCCTACTTGTCGTGCTATCAAAGAGATTCCTTTCCCGCGTCATGAGGTGGAAGATAGTCTGGTTTGGCATGACACGTCTGAAGGGGTTTTCTCGGTGAAGTCTGCCTACCATTTGGCAGTTTTGCTGGATAAAACAAGTGGGAGGTGGCGTTCGCTTGGGAGTTGGATGGATAAACCCAGTTGGATTCGACTGTGGGAGGATCCGATCCCCCCTAAGCTGAAAGTATTCCTGTGGCAAATCTTTAACCGGATCCTGCCTACCACTGAAGCACTTAGGAAGAGGGACATCCAGGTTCATCCTCGATGTCTGGTTTGTTGGTCGGAGTCTGAAACGATGGAGCATGTGTTCCTTGATTGCCCAGTTGCTAGGGCTTTGTGGGATTATGCGGGGTTGGAGCATCTTGGCCAGGGGCTGCTTCGACATACTTTCCCCCTATTCCCTAAAAAGTTGTTATCGCTTATTCACCAACCTCAGTTGGTAATGGCTGTTGTTGCTGTCCTTTGGAGAATCTGTCTATGAAGGCAAGCAATTTGGGATCCCAGCCCTTAGACTGTCTCCAACCCTTGCTTGCAGATTTGGAGAAAGTGAACTTTTTGCCTTTTTTTTTTTATCTCCAACCCACCAATAATGTAGCTTGCAAATTTGGAGAAGTGAGTGTTGGGGTGGATAGGTAGCAGCTCAGATGGAGAAAATGGCAAAAATAGCAGCTGGAAGGGGGGACACCGCGTGCAGGCGAAGGCCACCCGCGGAGGCGCGCCTGGGCCGCACGCGGGGTCCCCACTAATCTGCTGCTGTCTTTTTTTTTCAATTTTTTTAGTGGTTATTTGTGTGGGTGTGTTTGCGTTTTAGTTTGAAAGAAGTAATATAGTGACAATAAAACGGTCACATTGCAACGGACACGTTTTAACGGCCATAAAACGATCATATTTTTTTTTCTATATAATGAGTAACTTCTCATGGTTTTTCTGCTCATGAAGATGTAAACTTGTGCAAATCTTGGATATCAATATCTGAAGATGGAGCGGTTGGCATTAATCAAAAGAGCACGAGATTATGGGAAAGGGTGGAGAGGGAATTTCGAAGAAGCGATCCTACAACAATTCGTACTACGGATTCAATGGAATCCCGACTGAGACTTATCAGTAACAAGTGTAAAGTTTGGAAGGGAGCTTTGCAGAGGGCGGAGAGGAGTCAAACGAGCGGTACCAACCAAGTTGATGTGGTATTGTATTGGAAACTTTAACTTTTTTATTTCTTATTTTTATGTATATTTACTTATCTAACTTGTGTATTAATAATTTTGATAGGAATTTGTAGCAAGATCGATATATAAGGAAGTGAATAGGGACAAAGCCTTTGAACATGAGCATTGTTGGGTCATCCTTCGAAATTGCCCAAAGTGGTATTGTGACCCTCAATTGGTTGTCTGTCCAATTCCACCTATGAGTCAAGGTTCTCAAAGTTCTCCCATAGGGAGTGGTTCTCAATCCTCCCCTGTGGAAGGCCTCGACGACATACCAGAAGAGGGAGCTACGCCTTTCGTGTTGTCTCGCCCTGAAGGACGCGAGAAACAAAAGGCAGCAAAAAAGAAAGGTAAGGTAGTTACGGAATCGTCAGACATGTACACTACTCAATTGCTAGAGTTTGGTAATGATATGAGAGAGAGGCAAAAGTCGAGGATGGAGTACGAAAATAGAAAAATTAATCTTCAAGAGAGGAGAATAGAGAGGGAAGCCGAGGAATGGGCATACAAGAGGCAAGTGAGGGAGCAGGAAGCGGAACAATGGGCTCTTGAGAAGAAAGAGAGGGAGGCCGCAATACTTCAACAAAATATGAATATTCTGGAGAAGGATTTGTCAAAGATGACACCAAGAAAGAAGAAATTTTGGAGGAGTAAACAAAATGACATCTATGGGTACGATCAAGATGATCCCAACTCTAATCCAGGAGATGGCGGAGATGGAGATGCAAGTGGTGGAGGAGATGGAGATGAAAGTAGAGGTGATTACTTTCCTTTTATGGATTATGATTAGAAGAAAGTCCTATGTGTACTAATTGAGGCTTTTATTGCTTTATGTGATGTGTTGTGTGTTGTATTTGAACTTTGTTGTTTTCATGTGCTATGTGTACTCTTTGAACTTTGAGCATTTTCATGTGTAATAAAAAAACTAGTCGCTATTGAATCTTTTGACTAACTACAAAACACACTTTATTGAAACATGATATACAATCACACACTGAAACTTGAAACATGAAATACAATCACACACACAAAACACACTTTATTGAAGCATGAAATACAATCACACACGAACAATTGCCCATCTTGCTTGGAGGATTCCAAATGCCCGCTCTACGTCTTTGCGGTGTGCTTCTTGACGTTGAGCAAACAAAGCCTCTTTGTTTGAACTTGGATTGCTGAAGGTCTTCACTAAAGTCGATCATGAGGGATAAATACCGTCGGCCAAATAATAGCATTGATCATAAGCATGGCCATTTACCTCAAATCGTACATGTGGAGCGTTTGCATTGACAATACGATCAAACACTGGCGACATCCCCAGAACATTTATATCGTTGTTCAATCCAGGAGACCCAAAGAAAGCATGCCATATCCATGTGTTGTAAGAGGCCACCGCCTCTAGAATGATTGTTGGCCTATGCATGTGGCCAATGTATTGTCCTGCCTAGCCACTTGGACAATTCCTCCATTCCCAATGCATACAGTCAATTGATCCAATCATTCCAGGAAAGCCACGTCTTGAGGCTTTACTGAGTATGATCCTTAGCGCGAAGATATGTGGCCCCATACATGTTGATAATGTTGTTGCAGAACTTTCTGAAGACCTCCATCAAAGTGCTCTCACCCATACGAACATACTCGTCAAGTTGATCAGCTGGAGAACCATATGCTAGCATGCGCATCGCACCAGTAAGCTTCTGCTCTGGAGATAATGATAATTGACCCAAGCTATCACGCCTTAGAGAAAATGAAGGGTCAAACCTCACAATGTCGCCCATAATGCGATGGAATAATCTTGGTTGCATCCGATAGCGCCTTCTAAATATGCGAGCATTGTATACTGGATTTGGATCAAAGTAATCCCTCATAAGACGGCGATTACATTCGACCCTTTCACGATCAATGTGACGTCGACTTGTAGTTTGACGTCGACTTGATGAACCTTCAGCCAGCCTCCGGCCGATTAAACTCAACCGTAGGTGGTGAAACCTCTCGTACTCTTCGATTTCTTCTTCTCCTCCCGACGATGAGCTATCTGACATACTCATGATGAATGTGTTTGTTTTAGAAATGGGAAGAAGTTTCAGTGAGTTGATGAAAAATGAAGAATTGTAATTTATAAACACATATGATGCACAAAACAACAAAAAAACGGTCATAAAGTAACGGCTAAAAAAACTGTCATATTTGGATTGGTCCAAAAAAATGGCTACAAAAAATGACTAATTTTGCAAAAAAAGATTATCTCTGAATTAAAAAAAATTACATCGAAAATTTTGTTTTCACAAGTAATAACAAACTATAAAAAAAATTAAAGTGAATTACAAGAATGATATTGTAAATAAGTATGGATTTGGAAATTAAATCAAAAAAAGATGTGGGAAGCTAAATTTGGAAGCCTATAGGGTTGGAGCAAAAAAGTGTTTTGGGGAGGCAAAAATGCACATTTGAGAGCTTGGGAGGCTAAATATAGCCTTTTGGGTTGGAGTTAGTCTTATGAGGCAGTATCATTAGCAGTACAATGAATGGATAAGTTTACCTACCAGTAGGGTGGAGCGGGTCCCTCCCACGGTTAATCAACCTGCACGGGATACTGCTCCCCCTTGTCCGTTTGTGTGCCGATGGGATGGGGCGGTTAAGCTTGCGTCCCACTTGGCCGGAGGAATGGTTGTTATGGACCAGTCGGGGATGGTTTTGATGGCTAAAGGGGTCCAGTTTGCTGGGATTGATGACCCTTTGCTTGCTGAGATCCTCTCGCTCCTAGAAGCGCTTCTTTGGTATAGCGGGACTGGGTTTGACAAGATGCGGTTTGAAGGGGACGCGAAGACGATTATTGATAAAATCAACCAAGCGGATACGAGGGATAGTCGGGCTGGAGCTCTCCTTGAAGAAGTTCTGATTTGTTTATCCAACCATAGTGGGTTCTCAGTGCGGTTTGTAGGTCGGCGTAGTAATAGCGTAGCCCATTTGGTGGCTAAAAAGGCCCTTCATTTGTATCCGAATGCGAGTCGCTTCTTTGATTTTATAGCCTGGTTAACTTCCAGGATGTAACTATCTATTTTCTTATCAATATATGATTATCTTTTGTAAAAGAAAAAAGATTGAATTGCAAAAGGTAAAATCTGAAACAAAATTGAGAATGAAAGCAGGTTTAATGAATTGGTGTAGATTTTTTAAAATATATGCGCATAAATTGAAAATATTTGAGCTACAATCCTCGTTTAATTGAAAATGGTCAACTCTACACAATAAATAAAAGCCAAATGAGAAAACTTGAAGCTCAATTTCTTGCATCCAGAGTGAAAGTAGGAGGTTAGATTCGTCTTCACAGTCAGTAATAAGATTTGAACCGTGGCCTTTTCAAACAAAAATAAGAAATATAACCAGTTACAATAAACACATTTGTGTGATTTTTTCGATTAAAAAACATAAAAGAAGTTGAAAGGAAGGAGGAAATGAGAGGAAAATGGAGAGGGAAGAGGCGGATCAAAGAAATTACTTTCTTTCGCCTTTGTTTTATTCGACAGAAAGAAAGAGAGGAGAATCAATTTGTTGTGCATTTTTCGAACTAAATCCCTCTACGCTTAAGCTCTGGCCCAGATTCCGATTAAGTCCCAGGGCAACAATTCGCCATTGAAAGACTTTTGGATGTGGGTGAAAAGTGGAAGGGAGAAAGAGAAAGGGTTGGAGTAGAACAAACCTACACAAATCGACTCCAGCGCAGAATCGAGGCTCGTCAAGCCAGCGGAGCTTGCGTTTGTCAAAATTAAAGGAGAGATGCGACCCTCTTTCGGAGCACAGAGAGATGCCTGCTACTTCACCATCTTCAAAATTAAAGAAGATTCAGTGGCGGACTCTAAATCTTCGCCTTTTGCCAAAATCCATGAACCCTCTCCATAGTCAGACCTCTAGTCTAGTCGCCGTCGGCAACGCTTGGGCGCCGCATGTCTTTCTTTTCCTATGCAGATATGAGAGTCCCCGGATAAAAGCGCCGTGAAGGATTTGTTTGTAATTTTGAAATTATAATTACTTTTTCTGTTTTATTTATTTTAATTAATTTTTATAGTGAGGTGGAAATTGTAAAAGACTATTTTTTAATTTTCACGTCACTCATTTAATGGTCAACTATTAGAGTTGACTGTCACATAAGATAACTTAACGGAGACTAACGGAAAGTGACCAAACTTGAACTGTCGAACTAATGTTAATGACCATGAATGGAATAAACTAATTTTAGTGGCAAACATGAAATGTTATAGTAATTACAGTGACCAAACTTGCAATTTAACCATTTTTAAACATAGAACTTTTAAGTGAATATGAGCACATGTGTCTTTAGGAGAGGGGTAAATATGGAAAGGTTGAGTGATGTTAGTTTGCGAACGCGGATGGAAAAGACACTACTAATGTAAACAGACCCAAATAGTGTCCCGACCCAATAAATGCTCAACCATCATCGTCTCTCCAAACTTCCCATCGGACTCAACAACCGACTAACTTGCTCTAAATCTATTGTTATGCCAGAGCAATTTTTGGAGGATTAAATATGGAAATATTGAGTGTTGTTGGTTTATCCAATGCGAATAGAAAATGTGCTACTAATGTAAACGAGCCAGATAATGTCCGACCCACTAAACGCTCAACCACACGGATTGCTTTCGCTACATCTAATATAATAGTGAAATGGGAAAGATATTTCCCTCATTAAAAAATCGCAAAAGTAGAAAGGGTAGATTCGTCTTCATAGTCATTTATTATTTTCTTATTTACCGGAAAAATACATAAGTATTGGGATTTGTATTGTGATCTCTTTGTGAAAAATACAAGAAACCTAACGGATTACACTAAACAAATTGTTTAAACTTTTTAAATTAAAAATATACAGGAAGTTTAAATCTAAAAAATCATAGGAATTTTCCATCACAGTTAGCTAAGCCACTAACTCTCCACCTAAATATTTTTTTGGCATTTGATACTTCTAGTATCATACTTTGATTATTTTAATTCGAGTTGAATAATTAATTATATTTCTATTTTTCTTATAAAAGCATAATAATTTTAAAATCGCAAGCCTAATGTCATTGGTGTAAATAATGCACATCGAATTGGAGTATTGAATGTGTAGAAGTGATGCATAATTCTTGACATAGATCATATAACTACTAATCTACCATAAAGCAACAATATTTTTGAACATAGAAGTTTTGAGGGAATATGGGGCACATGTGTCTTTAAGACAGGTAAATATGAAAAGGTTGAGTGATGTTGGTTTGTCGAGTGTGGATTGAAAAGGTGCAACTAATGTAAACAGGTTTAAATGGCGTCCCGACCTACTAAACTCTCAACCATCGTCGTCTTTCTAAACCTTCCCACCGGACTCGACAACCGCCTAACGTCCTTCACCTATATTGTTATGCAAAGCAATTTTCAAAGGGGCAAAGATGGAAAGGTTGAATGTTCTTGCTTGGAGAGCTTACTGATGGACTATATAGTTTCTTTGACAGTAATGTGTGATTTCTTAACATGAATTCATTTGGTTGATCTTCTAGGTTGACTTTTGAGTTTATTAAAGATAAACAGTGTCCCGGGATCCCGACCTACTAAATGCTCAACCATCGCCGTCTCTCCAAACCTTCCCATCGGACTCGAGAACCGTCTAACCTCCTCCACCTATATTGTTACGCAAATCAATTTTCAGAGGGGTAAATATGAAAAAGTTGATTGTTCTTGCTTGGAGAGCTTACTGATGGGTTATTTAGTTTCTTTAACAGTAATGTGTGTGATCTCTTAACATCAGTTCGTTTGGTTGATATTCTAGGTTGACTTTTGAGTTGACTAAAGATAAATAGCTATACATTTTGTTGCTTTTGTTATGATACTCATTTTTAGTATCATCATTTTTCTAATTTGAAATGTTTTTGTGGTAAGTTTCCAGTAAAGAAAGACTATTCTAATTAGTGTTAACATAGGGAATAGCTTCAATCATACCTTTTTTACACAAAATTTATATGTAAGAGCTGAGATCATTGACGAATTGACTGTTCAAGCTATAATGATGATCTTCAACATATAAAAAATGGTTTCTTTTGAGTGAAATAGCATCATGATTGCATATAAGTTTTTACAATATGATGTTTCGTGATAGTGGTCACTTGCTTCCAGGTTTAAAAGTGGGATTCTAATTGCTACAATATAAAAACACGTGTGATAGCGATAATTGGAGCAGATACAAGATGGTTTGATATCCTTCTCTCTGCAAGGAATAAATGCATGGTGAGCATATGCTGTCATGGGAAGGACAAACCGAAATCTTTGTGTTTGTAGTATAGCACATTAATATATACACATGTCCAGACCCGATCGATTGGACATATCCACCTGAAATTTATTGACGGGATTTTTGCTCATCAAAACTGCGTGCCAAGTAAGCTCCCTCCTTAATCCTTATATTTTGCTTAATCTGCACATGCACACCATCATAGGAAACATGTACAGAATTGTAATTTAGGTGCTTCATTAGTGTTGTTTCCATAATATTGTATTATCTTAGGTGGTTCTTCTAGAATTGTGAATCGTGATTGTATCTCCTCTAAGAAATTGTCAAGTTAAGCTATAAAAGAGGCTAACCTGAGCTTCCTCTTTAATTTAGATGGTAAGAGAGCAATGACCCACGCCAAATTGATTGGGGGTTGACAATGCTTGATAAACAGTTTAGCCTTATTTAGAATATCACAAGATCCTGATAGTATCTCAACCAAAGCAATTTTTGTTTTCATGCCCGATGTTGATACAATTTGTTTACCTAGAGGAGAGCTCCAACAAGCTAGCTTTTGGAGTTGCAATGCGAAATTGGGTAGGGAAGAAATGGTTTATACAAAGTCCATACTATGATCATATCGAATGAGTTGGTAGAGATAGTCATCAATCTCATTTTATTGATGAAACCACCGAGGAGAAGAGAGAAATCGCCATTGGTGCTCTAAATTTTACAAGGCTACCATAATGATCATTCCTTTCATTTCATGTAAATATGTATTATGACTGAAGTGATATTACCCCAAGCCATAAATTGTAGCAAGGAATGGTCGTTTGGATTAATGTGCATTGATGCAAAATGCCATGGAGCTGCCAAGAAGAAGGATAAGAATCGTGATAATGTGGATGGTGCATGATGATTGACATATACAGATTGAAGTGATAGAAAGTACAGAGCTGTAAGTCATTTGTGTGTTTAGTGTAGCAGAGTGGTTAGGAGTGATTTGGTAGGATTTCACAGTGATAGGGATATTCACAAAGGTTATTATGTGTTGGTGCTTCCACGTATATATTGCTTGCCTGTTTCTTTTGTTTGTATATGATATTTCTACAGCATATTGCATGCTTTGTATTTCTTCTTTTTTTGTCATTTTAAATAACAAAAATATATACAAAAAAAATGGTCGACGCATTCCATCGACTTGATTTGGACATTGCTGATTTTTGTATTCTCAGCCAGGGATTCATCAGCTTCGGTGTCACTGTGGTTTTTGGTCTAAGGGCAATCCAGATTGGGTTTTTCTTATGAAATCTCTTGGTGGCTTTCATTTTTAGCATCGATAATTAGAGGCAGGTAAGCATTCCTTTTATTTTTTCATTTTCACTCTAGGGGCATCATGTTGCATGGCAACAGTGGCTATATTTAAGGCTAATGACTTGGTTTGGATTGTCCATTATAGTGTTTATGTTTTGCTGTTTTATTTTGTAATGCAATGGGATAATGACTTTCCATCATATTATTATACATGGTGTTGTTGACCTACCTTCGGCCATCGTCGCATACATGTTAACGGGTAATATCAGTTAGAATCTAAGAGTCAATTTCCGTGAGTACGTCCGGCCAAGGGTCGGGTAATAAGCTAGTTTCGTTATAACTTCGAATACCCTCTGTTATGCTAAGAAGGCTCTCTAACGCAACAACATAAGGTTTGTCGGTCAGGAGAGAGCAATTGAACTGATCACCTATTAGAAAATAAACAAATTCATTCAAAGATAAGGCAGTCAAAGACTAACTATAAAGTTTAAAAGCCTAAACCAATATACCGTGGACCCCCGAATGTTGTAGATTTTGTATCAAAAGCCTTTGGGATATAAAAAATCAGTTAAAACCCAAGTAAAAGCACTCACACGCAATAAGAACCTTAGAAGCTAGTTTTTACCCTTTTTTACGATTTTTAAATCCCAATTTTAGGACCATATTGGGTCGAGAATAGGTATGTCTTGCTGGAACAAAAAATGGAGCAATTTTTGCCTGTTATTTAAGTTGGGTAATCATTTTAGTCTTTCCATTTATGAATCTCTCATTCATAATTCATTGCGACTTTTCCTTCATTCTCCTCTTCTCTTTGCCTCCAACACAAGCACATGTCGCATCTACGGTCCATCCATTAGCATCCGTTCTAATAGCTCCTCGCAATGTTGCATCCAACCTCCTCTTTACTAGTTGCCTTGTTGCAACTTTAAAGTCGTCACTCGACGTGACAAACTGCATCATCCCTGCAATTGCCAACTCACCCTTGTGATTGTGATACTTTTCAATATCCTTCTCCTTCATCCTCCCACTTGCTAATGTTTTCACAGGTTAGAGAAGCTTGTCCATAACCCTTCTAGATTCATCATTTGTCGCTAGTTTCTTCTTCTTTTCCCCCTAAAGCAACAGGAAGGTAGGGAATCTTTGTTGAATAAGAGCTTATTGATTTAGTGTATCGTTTTATGTAGTCTTTTTAATATTATCTAGTTCAATTATTTTTATATTTATCTGAATACAAGTTATATTTATATTTAGCTGAATACAAGTTATATTTAGAAGGTTTCAATCAAATTTACATGATTCGTTTTTGTTTATCCACTTTCATCCATCATTTCACTTCTACCTAGAAGCTAAACTTTGACTACATTGGTTATAGGTATGATATGTTCCTCTATTATACATTTATATCAAACATGTCTCTATAGTCTATACTATTTTTTACATCAAACATACCTTTGTACTTTAAAATTTTTATCAAACATGCTCATCTAATAAATTTGCAACAAAAAATGATCGATCACGATCGGACCATAGATTGGGCAACACAAATGTTCAAAATATCATGAACATTTTCACTTTAACATTTTTTTATTCTATAAAAGCCAAAACCCATAATATTAGACTTGGTGAAATAAATGGAGAAACGGTTGTGTAGACCAATCAGGGACAAGTGGCAGAGCAAGATGGGGTAGATTTTTTTTTTTCACTAGACTACCTTTATGTTAACCATGCCATTAAACTAGATGCACTTAGGGCTGTCCATTTGCTTTTGGTTTTTCGATTTTAACTGAAACCAAACCAATTGAAAAGCTGATGGTTTCGGTTTTTTGGTTTTAAACCATTTAGAAACTTAATGGTTTTTGTTCCGTTAAAACCAGAAAACCAATAAAAACCAATAAGAAACCAATACTGCACGAAACGCTTTAGACCCCTTTCAACAAAACGCTCGCGCACCTCTCTTCCTTTCCTTGCTCTGAATCCCTAGAACCCTTTTGAAATCCCGAAACCCCTTTCGAACGAAATGCTCTAGCTTGCGCACGAGGCACCTCTCTTCTTCTCGTTGCTCTGAAGCCGACTATCTTTGGCAAAGGCGAAAGCCTGAGTTGCTGCTCCGTGGCCGCTG